TAGACAACCAAAAGTTGTACATATGGCTAGTATGTATCCTCGTTAATATAACAAAGTCAGGGGTAGCCCTGTGGCTGTTCTGGCATTTGATCCAAAGTTTAATAAAACGTGCCAGACCCCAAAGTGGTCATCTTAACATTAAAAAAAAAAAAAAAAAAAAAAATAACCAACTGCTTAAATCCTAACGCTAATTGCAAAATATCTAACAATTACTAAATATCCAACTGCTTAAATACCATAACACTAATGCTACATAATTGCGTACAAGTATTTATAGATCGATATATTTGATCTTCTGCATAACACTCCTGCATTGATTTATATAACACGAACTAAAAATGTCTGTTAGTTAGTAATACGAGAAAATCATTTATACTTACGTACTATATGAACCTAAATTTAAACCTTATCATTATCTTTGAAATAATACTTCTGTCAACTATGTTTCTTTTATTCGCCGTTTTCTTTATCAGCCTTTTGTTTTTTGCATCCTCTAACATTATGTCTTTTTTCTTGACAATAGCCACAGGTCTTAGAAAATAGTGATACGTGATGACCATTATTTTCTTTAGTTGATGATTTCAAATGCTTTGGAGGACGGCCTTTTGGTTTATGATACTCTGGATTAGTTACTTTAGGAAGATTATGATTAGTAATATTACTTAAAGGCTAATATTCATTATTTGTGGATGTGGATAATAATACTTGAGCTTCACCATTTGTTTGTGATGTAGGATAATAGATCTCATTTAATCTAGTATTGCGACGATACTTCGTAATAAATTGTGTAAGAAGCCCGATCAATTCTAACGTTGCACTTTCTGCTATAGCAATTTGAACTCCAGTTTTTGCCATTGACATTGCACTACCAAATTCAATTCTTTTATCTATTTTTTCTTAATAGTTGGTGTATAGACGTTGCCTGTTCGAGTTTGGTTAATATGGTACAATGATTCAGTAGTAGAAGTTTTAATTCCTTGAGCAATTGTAATGTAGCTTGATGTTTCAGACGGCACTGACTCAAACCAACATGCATGAATAAAACCCATATGGAATATGGTCTTATTGGATTGAAGGAGAATTGATATTGATGCTAACATAGCATTCCTTGATTGACAATGTACATGCAAGTACAAAATGATGTCGAGTCCGAAAGAATTGCTACATAATGTGGTTTAACTGTTGAAGACATTGCTGCTATATGATATACTTCCTATATTTCCTGAATCTCATTATTATCTACATTTTCTAAAAGATTCTGCAACATAATTTGTGGCATGTCATACATATATTCAACTGTATCATCGGGACTATTATCACATTCTTTCACTTGATCTAGTGTAATTAATGTTGCCTGATATAATAGTGCTTGTTTCATCTGCGCTCTTTGAAGTGATAATGGGATGGGTGCTAAACAATTTTTTAAAACAGAATCAATTTCTTTAAAAACAGTATTATAAGATGATGGGAGACCAGTTACTAGATTCGAACCATAATAATCCTCTATAC